GGGGAACAGGGTCCGGCCATCGTCGCCGCGCCCCTGGTCTGGGCGAGCAGCCCGTGCCCCTAGGTTGGGCTGCCGCGGGTGACATTGTGCTGGCTCTGGGGCTCTGTGGGCGCCGTGGCCCTGTGATTTCAGGCCGTGGGCTTCCTGCACCTTCCGTTTGCTGCCTAGTTTTCGCACGGCTGCCCCTTCCTTCGGCCTTCGCTGCGCAGGGTTCATCTTCCGAAGTAACGCAGAGGGCACCTCGCGGACGTGGCTGGTTGAGGGCATTCGTGTTGGAAACCACGCTGGGTTATAAATAGAACAGGGTCGTTTAAAATGTGAGCGTTGCTTCTACTTTTCTAATTTTTGCAGTAGTGGTGTTTAGAATCAGCCTTCTTGGTGGCAAATTGATCACTGTCATTCACGGGAGTCACCTCGTTAACCCTTTAGCTACATTTAGATACGTCTTTAAGCTTTTACCTATATCAGGTTCATAACAGGGAATCTGTTGCTTTATCCTGTGTGGCTTTTCTTTTTCCAAAGTTCTAAAAAATCGATAATTACAACAACAAAGCATGTCTAGAATTAAAAATTCTTGCATCAGAAATCCATATAAACGTACTGCTCCTTCCGTGGAGACTGTAATGTGTAGAGTATGTTATCTGCTCAGTTATTAAACCATTCCAGACCTGTGGATCTGCTTCAAAGGATTATGAAGCCCGTGAAATTGTATTCAAACCCTTTGAGCTGCTGCATCTGTAGGGGAGTGTCCAAAGCCTTCAGCCTTCCAGAGGGATCTGTCTCCACGGACTAAGAGGAACAATTCTAGAATAATTCATAGTGCTGCAATAGTGTAAACGTTTCATATTAAATGGAAGTTTTTCATTTAATGAAATATAAATATAAATTTATATATTTATAAACCATGGAGGAAATTTAGGTTAGGGGCTCATTTAATATTAATTTTTTCAAGGCCTAGATGGGTATTTGCTGCTGCTCCTTGTGCAGTAAGATCCTCTTCTAGTATTTAAAAGAGGAAATAACCATTTTAGTTATTAATAAGCATCAAAGGGCTTCTCCTAGATATTCCTGTGTGAAATAACAGGATAGTTTTCAAAAACAGGCTTCTGTGATTTAGAGTTTATCGAAGGCAGCTAAATGGTATTTTACTTGCATATAGCAACATCAAAGGAAATAGTATGGAAACCTTCACAAAGCTTAGTATTTATAGCTCGTAACTATGACTTACTTGATCATCTTGTTTTAGAGCATTATTTAGAAATTTTAATGAATAATTCTACTACAAATTTAAGGAATCAGTATTAAAATGTTAAATTATCTCATTATAATTAAGTAAATAAGATATTTTTGTGATTACTTTTCAACAGTTTGTCATAGAAGTGTAATATCTCATTAACTTATTTTTCTAGATGATTACATTCATTTGTATTCATGATATAGATTGACAGCCATTTCCCAGTTCAGGAACATTAACAGCTTTAATTAGTTTTTTCACTCAAGCAAAATAGAAAATGTCTTTTGAACCTCCAGGTAACTCCACTTTATTATACAATAAGGCAATGCATAACCTTAACTTTTATCATATGCCTCACAAGGAAATTAATACTGAATTTACATGTATAGTCACCAAAACTTAATATGAGGGAGGTTATTGATTTTTGCACATCATTTATAATAACATAAAATGTTCCTCCCTCAAATATATAACCTATTCCTCCCTCCCCAGAAATTGTTACAAATAAAATTAGCCTTAAGAATGAATTACTAAAAAAAAAAAAAAAAAGAATAAATTACTTCAAGTAACGCTAAAATGAAATTTGGATATTGGATAAACCCAACCCCGAAGTCTGCTGTGACTGAGAGAAAATATTCAAGGTCGTGAGTATTCAGAATGACCCTTTGTGGGTTGGAATCAATAAGAAGTTACGTAGTCTCTCTCTTATTCCCAGGGATACACAGCTTCTATGGCACTACATTTTATATTACTTTATTGGAAATGTTTGCCCAAGAAACTTTCCTTAAATATTACCCACTTCTACTCTTGCGCACACACATTTGTACACTCTTCCCTTCTAAAACTATCAGTCATGTGAGTCGTTTGGATCTGGATGACATCCAGATTCATTCAACAAGTACTCCTTGGATGTGCAACAGTTTTTTTTCTGATCCTCTTCAGCATGACCATATGACAAGATGAACTCCCAGAAATGTTCAGTTCTTTAAATGACTTCATTTAGGTGCCTATGTACTACTTGATTTACTTGGGGTTGCAGTAAGTGTAGGTGATCCTAAAGAGCTGTATCTTGTTTTTCATTCCGATTGCTTTAATGGGTCGTATCTATTTCCTATTTCTTCTCTCCCCTGAGTTCAGGGCAACAGCCCTCATTTTTCTAAGTTGGCAGGGCTTGTAGAATCTGAAGAGAATTATTTGGCTTTACTGTCAACTTCCCTCTCAGCTACCGTAGGAGAACACAATTACCCTTGAGCCTTGACCAACAAATTCCAACAACACGGGTACACTTAAATACATTCTCTCCCCTCTTACAGTGAACTCAACTATTGCAGATGTCTGCTTACAATGCTGCATGTTGCTAATCATCCCACCATAAGCAGTTCCTCTGTTCAGTAACTGCTCATTCAAGATGATTCCGCTTAGAATCTAAACTCATAATGTTTTGGGTTTTATCCCCCCTGTTCTTTCTGCACTGTAATCTGCTGTCATTGCCAAGGTCTTGATTTGGCGTCTTCACTGGTGACTTCCACAGGACCTTAGCCTGCTCTACTTTCCTTTGGGAATCCACTGGTACTTACCCACACTTAGCCTTTCTTGTCACTCACTTACTTCAGCTGAAACCCAAGGCTCTCGCATTTATCCTCCTATTCTTCTGCTCTGTTTTCATGACTGACAGTTTTGTTTTTCTTGTTCCTTGGTCACATCCTTGTTTTTATCGGAACTGCCTTCTTCTCTTCGATAACCACACTTTATCTTGGACAGAATTTCAAATCTGCTATCATCCTAAAATCTCTTGCCACTAGTCATATTATAATACCTACTTCCCCAACCTCTGCCTCACCCTTTATCTCTGCTTTACCTTCCTTGCTGCTGAATGTAGCTAGGATCAAGGATAAAGTAATGCAACTATAGCTAGGATAAAGGATAAAGTAATGCACCTATATCCTTTAGCCCACTACAAGTTGATTCACTCAGACTTAAGTTTAAGAGGAGGTTAATAGTACAAATGAATTAGTGTCTTCATCTTGGTAATCAGATATGCATAGTATGTATTCCACATTTCCCCAGGTTTTTTAGTGCACCCAAATTATCTTTCCTCTTTTCGTTCTTAGCAGATGATCATATTTCCCAATTACAGAGCATATTAAGATTAATGTAAACAAGAAATGTAGAAACTTTACCCATATTGAGCTATCAGACTTACTTCTATAAAATCCATGTCCTTATTTTACCTCCTAGAGTACTTACAAACTGCATATATAACTTTTACATGTGCTTAATACCCTCTGCCTTCAGCCCATCCTTATTTGGCATGGTTTGGGAGTCTAATAATCATTAGGCATTTCTCCTCTAGACACGTTCCTGGGTTTCTTTTGAAATTTGGTCCTTACAGCTGGACATAGACGAGTGGCTTGTTGTTACTGGATTTAACAAGCTGTTACTTCTAGACATGATATAATACAGCAAGCAGATATCTAAACCTGCACCCACTTTTTTCCAACTTATTTCATTGAATAATTACTCATCTCTTTTCCATATATTTTTACATTCAGACGTCTCAATTTTACATTTGACCGTTTGATTTTGAACTTTAAAAAATACCATTATGCTTAAATTTAATCTTTATCTTTAATTAGCTTATCTTTCTAGAGGATCATGGTCTTTGGGGTTTCTATTTATCCTTACCAAACTAGGAACATCAGAAAATTCAATCAGTATTTCAATACTTTCTTCATCTAAATAACTGCAAAATATCAAACACTTGGCAGAACAATTAGTATGGCCCTAGAGACCTCCTTTCAGCATGATAGTCC